TCTCAAGCTTTCAATTTTAAAATTTGGAAATTTGGAGGTTTGAAAATTTCAAAAATTTCCAAATTTCTAAACTCGTGGAATCCCAAGCTTTTAATTTAAAAATTTGGAAATTTGAAAGTTTGAAATTTTCAAAATTTCCAAATTCCTAAACTCGTGGAATCCCAAGCTTTCAGTTTCAAAATTTAGAAATTTGGAAGCTTGAAATTTTCCAAATTCCCAAATTCCTAAACTCGTGGGATCTCAAGCTTTCAATTTTAAAATTTGGAAATTTGGAGGTTTGAAAATTTCAAAAATTTCCAAATTTCTAAACTCGTGGAATCCCAAGCTTTTAATTTTAAAATTTGGAAATTTGGAAGTTTGAAATTTTCCAAATTCCCAAATTCCTAAACTCATGGAATCCCAAGCTTTTAATTTCAAAATTTGGAAGTTTGAAAATTTCCAAATTCCTAAGCTCATGGGATCTCAAGCTTTCAATCTCAAAATTTGGAAATTTTCAAACTTCCAAATTTCCAAATCCCTAAATTCCCAAACCTAGAAATGATCAAACCTCTAATTTCTGAATTCCTACATTTTCAAATCCAGAAATTGCCAAATTCTGAAATCTCTAAATATCCAAATTTTCAAATTTCCAAATCCTAAAATTTTCTTTGCCTACTAACTTCAAACCACGATAAAATGAAGAATAGAGAAAGTTGAAATAACTAAAAAAAATAAAAATTAAAACCGATAATAAATATTCTCGATAAGACTGAAGGTGAAGCTCTGAGCTTTTATAATCGCATGAAAGTTCGCGTGTATTCGACGCAGCCCCATTATTATGACAAAAAGGAAGATGAGTAATTGTTTGAAGGCTCCGATAAATAGAGATACAGCAGTTTGTTGTATTCAATTATCGCTGAAGTCAAAGGAATGCGGATTATCAGTTCAAATATTTGTCAGTTCAGTGTCGATAATCACGGTAGAATTAAGATGTTAAGGACTGTATAGAAAAATTTTCCATCAAAAAATTATCATTCTGTACGTATATTTCCTTCTCTTCATTTTGTTCTTCCATCTGTTTGTAATGTTTCCCACGTCGAATATCGCTTCATTTTCTTCTTTTACACGATTCAGAACGAGTATTTTATAATCTACATTCATTTGTACTTTTTAATGACATAACTTGTAACTTACATGATAATTCAATGATTGTTAATAATGCCCGCCACTTTAATGACCGCCACTTTAATGGCCGCCAGTCAAACGTCGTCCCTGCCAATATTTTTGAAGAATAAATTTAAAAATTTTTTATATAAATTCGCAAAATAATTTAACATGTGTGAACATACACACGAAACAAATAAAAACAACAACAATTACGACACGTTTAATATTTTGTTTTGTGTAATAATTATTACAGCAACCACCTACGTTGATCAAACGTCACACACATGTGTGAGCGGCCATATTAATGAAAAATTCTATCGTTAAAAACTGCAGTCATTCCACAATTTTATTTCACAGAAATTCTTGGCCAGAAAATTCAACTATCTACGCGTGGTAAATGTTCCTGTAAGAGTGATTCGTAGCGATTGAATGATTCACGTTCGAATTGTTTGTGAAATAATTTTTGCAGATTTCGCGTGTAATACAATACCGATGTCGCAATAATGTCTGTAAAATACTTGCATTGTTAGGGACGTGCATCGAATTTCATCTGAATGTTGATTAGCAGGAAGGGAATTTTATTGTTTTTGAAATGGAACTGCTGCGTTATCTTGGCTATTGCGCAACATTACGCGTGTATACGAGCGATATATAAGGAGTAATTTTTAATATGTATTAATACGACGAATGGAAAAAACGCGGTCTTGTAAATTATTCATAACATTAAACGCAGTGCGTATGCGCCATGGTATGCGATGTAAAGTATGCGACTCGAGCTGCGGTGAACAAATGAAATAACGCTGTTTCGTTCTGTTATTTCATAATTCGATGCAAGAAACGAGATTATTAATTACGATAGCATTAACAGGCGCCATGAATCTCGCGTATTTTTAATGCATAAATACATAAATAAACGAATTCGTCGTGCTTTTTAATTAATTTCTAATCTTAAATCACGCTCGTAAGGGAAATGGAAATTTTTAGAGCACATTGAAACTCTAATTATGCGGCATTCATCTTCTAACTTACAAGCTAATTAATTTTTTAACCGACGAATTAATTCATTTTCTAATTTACGGTATCGGTGGTTCGATAAGTGAATTGATATTGAAATTGCGGTACTTGAAAATATATTTTATTTAATTATTCGTGTATTAATATGATCTACTTTGTAGGAAATAAAATCGTGGTAATTTTATGTACATCTTGTTAATTAACGTTGATTGAATGTAATGAAATATTAAATAAATTGGAAATGGCGGTTGTAGTGGCGTTGTATGATTCTTGACATTTATCAGAAATTATAACGTTTATTGATTATATTCGATATGTAACATTTTTAGTTTTCTTCAGGAATTTATCAAGCTATTACTTGGGAACCTGGGGACTTGTGGATTTGAGGGCATGGGACATTTGGGAATTTGGGAATTTGGCTAATTGGGGAGTTCGAGAAGTTTGGGAAATTTGGGGAATTTGGGGAATTTGGAGAATTTGGAGAATTGGGGGAAATGGAAATTTGGAGAATTGGAAATTTGAGGAATTGGAAATTTGAGGAATTTGGAATTTGAGGAATTTGGGACTTGAGGAATTTGGAATTTGGGGAATTGGAAATTTGAGAAGTTGGGAATTTGAGGAGTTGGGAATTTGGGGAATTGGGGAATTGGGAATTTGGGGAATTGGGAATTTGGAACTTGGGGAATTTGGAATTTGAGGAGTTGGGAATTTGGGGAATTGGAAATTTGAAGAGTTGGGAATTTGAGGGAATTGGGAATTTGGGGAATTGGGAATTGGGAATTTGGGGAATTGGGAATTTGGGGAATTGGGAATTTGGGGAATTGGGAATTTGGGGAATTGGGAATTTGGGGAATTGGGAATTTCTTGGGAAATTTGGAATTTGGGGAGTTTGGAATTTGGGGAATTTGGAATTTGGAGAATTTGAAATTTGGGGAATTGGGAATTTGGGGAATTGGGAATTTGGGGAATTGGGAATTTGGGGAATTGGGAATTTGGGGAATTGGGAATTTGGGGAATTGGGAATTTGGGGAATTTGGAATTTGGGGAATTTGAAACTTAGGAAATTTGGAATTTGGGAAGTTTGGAATTTGGGGAATTTGGAATTTGGAGAATTTGGACTTTGGAGAATTTGGAATTTGGGGAATTGGGGGATTTAGGAATTTGGAAATTAGAAAAGTTGGAAAATTAGAAAGTTGAATATTTGGAAATTTTCACAATTCGAAAATCCAAAAATTTGGAACTTCAGTATCATAGAAAATTCAATAATAAAAGTAGTTAAAATTGTATGTTATTTTATTTTATTTTATACGTGTTAAGAGTGTAAGTTTGATTTGAACGGCATAGATATGCAAACTGTGTAACGCAAAATCAGCGTTGCGTCGTTGCGTTATCTTGGCACGTGAAACTGTAACGACGCAGCGAAGAGTTTGCTAACTGTGCCTTACTAGAATGAATTGTAAATTCCTTGAGCTTACTGCTTTATACTTCCCTTTTCTTTTTATTTAGCATTAGAATGTATTCAAATGTAGTCACAGGAAAACGTATGTTTGAATAATTTGTTCCACAATATTACCTACTGCCATTTGCCACTTACATTTATCACTTTCGTTCCCATTGAGCCGTGTTTGGTATCCTCGGTCGTTTCGTGCATTTATATGCAGGATATAATAATTCATTTCACAATTATATTTGCATATTTTAGTCTTTTGGGGAATTTGGGGTATTTTGGGTATTTTGGGAATTTGGGGAATTGGGAATTTGGGGAATTGGGAATTTGGGGATTTGGGAATTTGGGCAATTTGGGGAATTGGGAATTTGGAATTTGGGGAATTGGGAGTTTGGGAAATTGGGAATTTGGGGAATTGGGAATTTGGGGAATTGGGAATTTGGGGAATTGGGAATTTGGGGAATTGGGAATTTGGGGAATTGGGAATTTGGGGAATTGGATTTGGAGAATTGGGAATTTGGGGAATTGGGAATTGGGAATTTGGGAATTTGGGGAATTTGGGGAATTGGGAATTGGGAATTTGGGGAATTGGAAATTGGGGGAATTGGGAATTTTGGGAATTAGAGAATTTGAGGAATTCGGGGAATTTGGTAAATTTAGGGTCTTGTGGATTTAGGGATTTGGGGATTGGGGGGAAATTGGGAGTTTGGGAAATTGGGAATTTGGAGAATTGGGAATTTGGGGAATTGGGAATTTGGGATTTGGGAAATTGGGAGTTTGGGAAATTGGGAATTTGGGGAATTGGGAATTGGGAATTTGGGGAATTTAGAATTTGGGGAATTGAGGAATTGGGAATTTGGGGAATTTGGAATTGGGAATTCGGGGAATTGGGAATTTGGGGAATTAGGAAATTAGGAATTTGGGGAATTGGGGAATTGGGGAATTGGGAATTGGGAATTTGGGGAATTTGGGGAATTAGGATATTAGGAAATTGGGAATTAGAGAATTTGAGGAATTCGGGGAATTTGGTAAATTTAGGGTCTTGTGGATTTAGGGATTTGGGGATTGGGGACTTGTGGATTTGAAGGCTTGGGATTTGGGTATTTGGAAATTTAGAAACTTGATCATCTAAAAAATGCGTAACTTGGACTAGCTTATCTCTTTCAATAATTTTAATTCTTCATTCGAAGAAACTAGCAGAATTACCACGAACATGAAAATAAATATAGAATTTGATACGCGGTTATAATAAGGTTCTAACATCGTCATGGGTCCGAGTGACCTTGTACTCGAGTAGATCGTCAGCCACGAAGCATCGGTGTTCCGAGGGCTGAATCAATTGACCGGGAATGCGAACGTGTTATTAATTGTGAAATACTTTTTGTTTGTACAGATTCGGCACATTAGGCAACAGGAAGGCTCCAATAGTCATGCCGTTCAACAGGGGGAAGTGTCTTCATCGAATCCTAACATACTGTCCAACGATCAAGTTGGTCCTATTTTACTCGAGGTATGAATGAACTTAAATCAAAGTCCATCATCTTATTCTGTTCTTGTTGCTTTCGTTCGCCGATATGCACCTGCATCATTCAGAACGATTTTGTTTCTTTATTTTTTTTTTCACGGCCCATTACGAAGGTTTAGCTGATTGAGTACTTTATTAAAATTAATTGAGGTTAAATTGAGGTTTAATTGAACGTGAACGGATACATGCACGTAGTTTCTTGAACAGAACGAAGGTTTCGGTGTAGAAAATACCTTTTGTTTCTTGTATTAATCATTTTTCTCTGCTTCTTTTTTCCTCGTACGTATCATGATTCATCAGTGTTGTAATTTATGCTGAATCACTTTCAAGTATTTCAACATGATATATCAACGATTCCGATGTGTTAACACCCCTGAACTTTTATCTAGGCGTTAGATGGCTTTCTGTTTGTTGTAAATACGGAGGGACGAGTGGAGTACGTAACGGATAACATAACACAATATATAAATTATACGAAGGACGATGTGCTCGGCAAGGATATTTATAATATTATTCATCATGGAGACCACAACATCTTCATGCCTAGCTTGTGCCCTGTGTCATTAGGTTTGTATACCATAAAACCACGATTATTCTCCTCTTACTCATTCTCTCTTACTAATCTCCTCTCCTCTATATTCTTTTTGTCTATGCTAACTCTTTAGAGAAGACAAATATAATAAAGTTCAACACTTCTTAAACCTGTCAAATTTAAGAAATGAAAATCTTAAGCAGTAATCTCAAAATCCTAATTATTTCTTTCAGTACAAATTTTTCTGTATAAAATCTTCTCGTGAACTATACAAAACTACTGGTGGGTATAATTTCAGGGGATGGTAGCTGGAGAGATACTGAACAACATTTTCCTTTACCAAAATATTGACTGAAGCTTAGTTTTTGAATTATTAACGAAAAACACTGACCAATCAGAGCGCGAGTAACGAGAGCGAAAGCTTCGAGCCATACAAAGATACTTGTTCACGATCACGCTCAGGCATCAGGCTCGAAGCTTTCACTCTCTCAGTGTTTTTCGTTGATAATTCGAAAACTAAGCTTCAATCAACATTTTGCTAAAGAAAAAAGTTGTTCAGTATCACTCCAGCTCTAAAATTATGCCCACCACACCCTGTATAAACTAATATAAAAATTGAACTACATGAACCACCTAAAAATTCGCTTTATCTAACGTTTTCACGACACAATTTTAAAAGTTTGTCAAATAATTACTCTTTCAAAAATACCAGTTTTGAATGAAACAATGATAATTAAGATGTTTAATGTCGATAACGCTATGAATTTTCCGCACAACACAAAAGATTAAATCTTGCAGTGGAATTTCGCGATAAAACGATTATTTACGAGTACCTTTGTTATGCGTCAGACTAGTTATGATAATGTAACGTTAGAGTTTATTTACCGGATGGATTGGCCACGTGTAGTACTTTTTCCTTTATCTCTTTTGTCAGTAAGTTCGACGGTAGCGGAACGGAAAGATTTATCTTCTGTAATGGAAGTGGACAGTTTAAAATTGTTGCTGGCAGCAGAAATACGATGCCATCGGTGTCGTCTTAGCTTCGACAGGCTTGACTTTCCGATGCCTGACAACGAAAAATTTCGTTCGACTTTTATGTCAGTTTATTATAAACGATCGCGATTAATTGCAATGTTAAACAAACATTTAACATCTTTTTAGAGAAAAACTGGTTTAATAAAAAGAATTTGAAATTGGAAATTTGAGGAAATAACTTTAATTTTAAATTAATCAAGTACTAAATTTTCTTGGATTAATTGCAATGTTTTCGTATTGATTTAAATATACAGTATTTGTAATTTCTGATATATAATATGAAACTCCTTGAAAGTTTAAAACTCGATAGTCTAAAAGTTGGAATTCGGGAAAGGCTTTCCCTACACCGCCATTTTGTAAAGGGAAACCTGTTGTGTTCGATATTGTGCAATTTAAGCAACTTCCTTGTAAGTGTCAATAGGCGAGTCACGTGTGATACACCTTGAAACACGAAATCCATATGTATGAACTATCACATATGTTCATTTCGCTAACTATCGCATATGTTCGTTTTGTTAAGTCGTTATTAAAATTTGTCGAACAAAACGGATGGTGATAGCGATACATTTCGAATTACAGGAATGTTATATTGATTTAAAATTTTTATTTTGGATTCTAAATAGCGAGTTCATCGATTCGCTTCCATCTCTCCCGAATTTTCCTATTTCCCTCGAGTCTCCCTCGTCTCTCCCTATTTTCATAATAATTTTTCTTCTCCTTTTCTTTTATAAAATATTTTATTCCTTTTCTCCACTCATTGACACAAAAAAGGTTCGTTGTTTCAATTGTTATATTAACTCTGATACAATAAATTAACTCTATTCATGATAAAGTAGTCGCAAATATATTTCATTCGAGTTAATCACAAATGTATTTCAAAAAAATGATAAAGTAATATGTGATACACAAACTTGACAACATATAATATGTATGTATTTGTTATTACAATTATCATTTTCATGTATGCATGTACAGAACACAGCAGACTGTTACTTGAATCAGAAATAGAGGCACAACTGCCTTTATCGGTCAAATTTTAAAGATAAATAAAAAGATGTATCTAATTGGTCAAAGTTCATTTCTGCAACATTGAATAGCGATAACACGAACATTTTCTGCTTCGTGTCACTTTTGAGATACATATGTGAAATATTATTCCATTTTACACAAAACAATTTGCAAACTAATAATACAACACGATGAATGCTGCACAATTTCCAATAATTTGTACAGTTAATTAAACTCGAGTAATTAGAAAATAAAATATTATTTTGAAAATGTATTATTTTACAAGATTGTTTTACAAGATTATTTTACAAATAGTTAATACAAATTTAAATGAGAAAGAAGTTGATTCAGATGTAGTATTCCAGACAGAAAAAAACACCCAAAGGTTATTCCAACGCTTACTGATTAGAATTTCAATAAGTTGCAACAAAGTTCTCTACAGCAGTCAACGTGTTAGTAGAATCTTATCATATCTCCGTTCCATTTCAAAGTACAACAAAAGTCGCGTTAACTGATCGTTAACATCCCTCGGTAAGTGAACGCCAGTTATTCCACGTTCGAAATTTTTATGAGTCGAAAACAAAGAAACATAGCAAATACGTAGTTCTACGGCTACGATCTATACTATGTTTCTTCGTTTTCATTAATGGTTCCTCGATATCAGCGAGCACTCACCGTAACTGATCGCGCTCGGACCCTAAGCGATCAGTTAACGCGACTGTACCCCAAATACGCACGAGCGATCTTTTTCCGTACGAATCCACTGCAGTCTTCTTTTTAACTGAGAAAGTAAGAAGAAAGTCGCTCGTGAACATCGTACTATTCCGTAACTATATTTACTGTACTTACGATATTAATTATTGTACTTACTGTACGATAATAATAATTGTGAGTATTATAAATATATTTATTGTGTATAGCGACTAACCCGAGAGAAAGAAGCACAAGGAAAGAAGAAAATGATGAAATGGTTGTGTGATTCAGGCTGGACGAGCGAGCCGCAGCCCCAAACGAGGAACCGTACCTTCAATTGCCGCTTCTTGGTGAAGCCTCCTGATGATAAAGAAGAGACTATGGAAGAGAAGCAGCAACGAGTATCGAAATACGAGTCTATGCAGATCTGTTCAGCTCTTTTGCCAAGTAATAGCGATCGTCTGGAGAGCGGTGACGTATCCTCCGAATCGTCGGACATCGGTCCTTGCGTAATGTGCGTGGCTCGCAGGATACCACCGAACGAGAAACCCATTGGTACGCCTATCGAGCAGTTCACTGTCAAGCTGGACACCGCGGGGAAGATTATCGCGGTTGATGACAGCTGGCTGTCGCCTCCTTACGCCAAGTACCTAAGCAAGGTAAAGGTACGTAAGATTCCAGATGTATCCTCTTTTATGTCTCCAAACACTTTCACATTTAACCCCTTAACTTATCTTTGTCAGACAGAGCAATTGTCCTTATACGAAAAGTATCCAAATGTTACGAATATTTTGAACATGGCGATCATTGTGTTGGAATTAAAATTGAACTCAAAATTCAATAAAATAATCAGATTTGTTTTGCTTCAACAGTTATGCGCAGAATATAAGGCAATAACCTTAATAAGATGCTTTAACAGAATAAGTTTTGTTGAAATTTATTAAAAATCAGTATATGTTTTGTCCAAATAAGAAATAATATATATAAATTAATTTACGTTCATCCCTCTTTGTACTTCATTTTTAATGTAACAGTTAAGTAAAATTAAAATCAATGCTGTAAAAGTAAGTTCGTTGGACAAGCTTGTAAACTTAACGTTAAAAGAATGAATATTAAAAATAATGCTTGGCAAAATGTCTGTTACAGGACCTGATTGGCACTACAATAAAGGATGTGTGCCACCCTCATGATCTCAGTAAGCTAACTGCACATTTGAACGATACGCTTCAAGTCGGTGAGAGTACCAGTGGTGTGTACCGACTACGCGTTAGTCCTGATAAGTTCCTTAACATTCAAACAAAGTCAAAACTTTTCAAAGCAAATGTGATGAATACACACGATACCGACTTCATTATGGCCACCAATTCCATCATCGGGTAAGTTCACCGATTTTCCATAGTTCTTTTTCTCCCTGTTATTTACTCGTAAAATATCGGTGTAAGATTCGTTCAACAACGGACTCTTTAAGTTTCAAGGGAGATTTGAACTTAAACTTTGCTCTTTAAACTTCAATTTTAATCCAGAATCAAGAGCTGAAATATCGGTAAATTTATTTGAAGTTGATCCGAGGTTGAACGTAGTCGAAACATTGATTATCATAGTAATTTCGAGTTGAAGCTATTTAAACTGTTAAAATTTGTAGAGATGCTATGGTACTCGGTGTATTGATGTTAAAGATAGTTACGAGTAGTATTAAGACCTAGTGGAACTTCAATTATTCGAAATACTAAATTTGACGATTCAACCCTTAAAGTAGCGATGGGTTTAAGTAGCTCGCGAGTTGGATCAAACTTTGACCGATTTCCCATTATTTCGGAAAGTAAAAATTAACGCCTAAATTCTGCTATGAGTAATTTAAAGAACGTTTAAGTAATCTCAAACACTATTTGAATAGTAACGTTTGTTCAATCGTCGCCTCAATAATCGGCGTTCCGCTGGGTAATTAAGTTAATGTACTGTTCCTTTGCTTAATTACTTTCCTACTTGGAATACATAGGCAAGGGTGACTATATCTACACGACATATTCCACCTATGAACTTCCCGCTGCATTAGGTTTTCGCTAATGTATTCTGTTCACCTAATTTCTCCGTGTTTATCTTATCTCCGTTGCTTCAGTAACATTTTCGAGCTAACTCAAGTACTTACTCCAAAACGATCTACAGAAAAGCGAAAAGAAATCAAAGAGTCTATCGACTGGAATACGAAAGAGAATCACGATATAGGTCGACAAAATTTCAATCGATTTTCGACAAATTCTTTGTGGTTTTTTTTCTTTTTTTATCAGATTTCTAGAAAATCTTGCATGTTCCGCGACACACACGGGTTTTCTTCTCTCGGTGTTGGAGATCTGGCCACTCTTGAAATTGAAACGATTTTCCCTGACTATGTTTATCGTCGTCGCGATCACGATCACATTTTACGCTTCTTAACGCTTCGTCTGCTAATAATTACTATGTGTCACACGCTGGTTTTAATCGTACTTAACGCACACACAACTTTTGGCAGCGTTTGTCTACGCACGATCACACTTTCCATTGTCGTCGAGCCCGGAATGGCAAGCGTTGCGGCTCGAAATTGTACAACCGATTCGTACGCGATCGTTGCCATTTTCGTTCTCGATTTCATGACGTTTTCGAAACGTGAAGCAAGAGGTGATCGCGATCGAAATTTTCGGTTAAGAACGATACTTTCGCGTGTCGTTTACGGTATGCGGAAAAGTAAATTAGACATCGCGTTCAGAGTTCCGCGCTCACCTCGAGGTATTCACGATATCGGGTCGCATAGAACGTTCAAACTGCAAGTACTTAGCGAAAGTAAGATTTACGGTGGTCACGGTACGATGAAGTAAGTCTTACTTACGCTTGTGTGCCACTTACAACGGGTTATCAAGGTGGCTCGATTGATGCTCAAGGTTTCTCTCTCGGTAAACAGTGCACGAGGAATTGTATTTCCACGTGCTTTTCAAAAACCTTATTTTTCTCGACCGTTTAGCATCCATCTGGCTTAAACGTTTCACGAACGATCTCTCGTTCAAAATGCGAACCATGCTGTTTTCTGGTACGAATTTTCCAAAACATTCGGGACAATTATTTGGCGAGCACTGTTCACCGTACATCAGAAAAATAAACAACTTAGCGAATAGTAGGGGAAGATGCTGTACCTAGGGATATTTTTATTTTACTTCTCGATTCAATTGGCGTATTTAATATATTTTCGTGAAGGTTTCAACTGATTCTTTTCACATCCACAATTTGGTACATATACTTGTAATCCAGGGACAATATGTGGGTAGACGACATTAATTATATAATTTTTATTATTAAGTGATACCGTTCATTTTATAACAGTAAATTGATATTATAAATACAAAAACATTTGTTTATTTACACGAATAATTATTATAATTAAATGACAAGTATATTTTTCGTTTTTAAAATATATGTACCGTTGGGGACAAAGTTCTCAAGTTATATTGGTTTCTCTCTTCTTTGATCATTTCATGAAAGTAAACGTATATTTTTTATAAGGAAGACTCAATGAATCAGTTTGAAGCTTTATACATTGGGAACTATAGAAAGTAGATTTAGAAACGAGGAGATGCAAACATTTGGAAATATAAAAATATAGATATGAAGCTCTGAAAATATAGACACGTGAAAAATATAGTTGTGCGAATTAGAAAATGTGAAAATACAGTAAAATTCGATAAAATTATTTATTTGAAACGTTAAAAGCACAAAGTCGATTTAATGTCATTAAAACATTAGTTATCACAAAAATCCGGATATTAGTACTGTAATGTTAATAGTCATAAAAAGTCAAAATTTTTTCCTTATATTTCAAGTCACGTCGTCGCTTGGTACAGCACCTTCCCCTAATGCTTAAGGGGATATTCCCATTCGGAAAAATCAAAAATTGATTTCTTTAATTGCACTTTCATACCTTGAACATTTTCGAAATTTCATGCTTGAAATCATTAAAACAGTTACCTAACGATGTATGAGAAAATGCACCGTGATACTTTGTACGAATTTTTTCGAAACCATGTTTCTCAAATTGGCTGCCACGGCGTTTCAATAATGAATTAACCAATCTTCAAATTTTATGTGTACGTAAACTTTATCTTGTTAATTAGTGTTATATGGACACAAGTTTTCATCTTATCGCCTGTAGAAGTTGGAAATTTTATGAATTTTCATCATTTTGTTAATATCATTTGTTTAGATTCTTCATAAGATAATTACTTCTATATGGAGTGACTAAAAAATTATGATGCAAGTTGCAGATTGATGATTCTTCATCGAGAATCCAATTTGCAATTGTAACAGTTAATTGGTTAATTCAGACATTCACAAGCATCACAGATTAATAAATTAATGTTATTTATCATTATTAACTATTAATACATTTATTGTTATTAACTTATGTTCCCATTTACGTAAACACGTCAACCGTGACAGCCAAATGACACACTGCATAAAAAGTACCTATACCATATAAACCGCCTAATTGAAAAAAATAACAAATATCAAAAAATTTCGACATCGACATGCGTACAAAGTATCAAAAGCACCTATCACAAAATCTCATAGATCGTCGAAAAGTCGACGCCTCCGAATGGGAACATCCCCACAAAGTTAAACTAAAGAAAAAAAAAAAGCGATTATTTAAATGGTAACTGGCAAATACATGTGTTTGTTTTGTTTCTTGTCCATGATAGGGACAATGACTTAACGCCTATCGAGGGTGGTCAGCTTTCCAACAACAAAGTGTGCTCTGGACACTCTAGTAACCGTTGTGCGAATAATAGTAATAATAATAATGGTAACAATAACAATAACGTGGGTGGCCCGCTGATGTCCGTGGCGCATCTGAACGGTCAAGTGAGTGGTATCAGTGGTCGGGGGTTGGCTGGTACGTCGTCGTCATCGTCGTCGTCGTCGTCGTCGCATGGCGGCGGTGTCGCGACATCGTCAAACTCGATAGTGTTTAGCGCGGCCGAGTCTTGCAACAACCCCCTGCCGTCGCTAAGTACAAGTAATCCGTTCAACCACTTTTCGGGGAACATGGACTTGGAATTCGAGCTCTTCCCCAGTTCCACATGGGACTTGGATAGTAGCAGCGGGTGGGCAGATAGGCCCGAATCGAGAGCGAGCGGGCCACCAAATTCACGACCACCTTCCCAGCCAGCCCCGACATCTCCGAGTCCCCAGGGAACGTTCTCCTCTAATTCAGCGGTGGCGCCTCACTGCAGTCCCCTACGCGCGTTCAGCCCGACCTCAGGCAACGCGGCTCACACCTTCAGTAATTCGTTCCCCTTCAGTCCGCTTCAGGAATCACAGACGTCCTCCTTGACGAACAGCGCTGCTAGTAGTGTTAGTGCCAACGGGGCGGCTGGATTGACGCCCAAACGGCAGGATGAAGGGAAGACCGGATGCTCGAGCAGCAACAACCAATCCGGGATGGATAGCACCGGCAACTCGAGAAACAACTCGACCAACGTGGCCGGGACCACCGCGACCGGCCAACAACAGACCACCGTCGGGGTCACCGCGACCGTTGTCGAAACTCAGAACAGTGTTGTGTCCACCGAGTCCGGTAGATTGAGAAACTTGTTGACCAAGGGGGCTAGTGCTAGTGAGGACAGTCAGGACAATGCGAATAACGATTCCGAGAACCAAAATCAGCATAGGATATTAAAGATCTTGTTGAATCAACAAGACGACGAAGATTTTCATCCGGAGCATAATAATAAAGTGCGCACGAGTCCTAGTAACATGCCGAAACCGAGCATGGAGCATTCGAAATCTTCGCTTGGAAATAATATGCTGTTACAGGTAAACCAGCTGATCTGTGGATCGAACTCGATGGACCTACGATCTTTACGGTCATCGAGTCCTTTCCGTATATTGATCCTTCAGGTTTTAAACGAGGCCATTTAAATATTCCTTCGAATTATAGTATTACAATGTGTTGCATATTATTTAAATTGTATCAGAGGATGTGTCAAGAATATTTTTTTTGAAAGTGTACATTTTTCATTGTATGATTAAAGAATATGGACATGCATACCATGATCTTAAACTTGGAAAATTAAAAGTCTACGCAAAATTTATTTAAAATTAATGTAATAATTGCCCCAGGCATTTTACACGTCTAAACGTACCTTTTGATCAGCGACAAAAAATCAATAAAGAAATATGACATTGAAAACTCCGATAAAAATGTCGAAGAAAAACGTTGCAACATACCGGTTCTCTGACGGCATTTAAATAGCGTATTTCACGTATCACTGAAATTGGAAGAGACATTTAGGTGGCCTCGTTCGACTCGTCCGCTCTGTATACCAACGTTATCCCTTAATACGAGTAATTTTTGTTAAGTTATTAAATGAGAAAAACGACGACGAGGACGAAGAAGCTCGTGCCGGTTTAAAGAAACGGAACGAACTTCTGCAGCAGCTTCTGAAAAACCAAGACGACGAGAGGAAAGTACAAGAGCAACAGGTAAGCGATCGCGCGATTACGTTGTTTCATAGATTTATGGACAAGATTAGTTTTCATGCCGAGCTAATCTCTTTGATCTGGTAAAACGCGTTTATGTCCCAGACACACGGCGACGTCAATATTCTAGCCTGTCTATTTACGAATGTATGTATTATGTGAACAGTGCAAATCGCAGAATCGGGAAGAAGATCCTCTGTTGCGAAGTCTTGGCTTTCGGAACACCACGCCATCCCCGTCTCAATCGGGCGACAACGTTGGTCTCGGTGGTTCGACGCAGGTCGGACAGAAAAGACCCGGCGAGGATGGCGATCTGAACATCGCTGTGAAACGTCCTATGGACGGCTCGCATCAGGTGTCCTCCTCGGGTACGTCTACCAATACGACCAGCAAACTTTGGGAGAAGAACAAAATGTTAGCTTCGTTGCTAGCTATACAACCTCCTCAGCCAACCACTATCCCACCAATACCTGCATCTGTGATATCGGCAACGCCACAGGTAATTGAAATCGTTAATTATCTCTTAACTGTAATAATTAACTCCGTTGGTACGGTGTAAATGAATACGGGTGCGCGTTACATGGTCGGAGATCCAATTTCGTTTATGAAATTGATTAAAATCGACTTGCATAATTACAAAGAGTAAATATTTCGTTTTATTCAGGAACGCATTCGTATGAATAGTTTAACGAACAAATATAATTCTGATAATAAGCTGATATATTGCAATAATTTAGATGTAATTATTGTAATAATCCGACGTAATTAAATAATTTTTATATAATTATTACAAAAATGAAACATAACTATAATTATTAACATATGCTTTTTGTTGCGTAGGATAAACTGGTACGTATAGGATTAAAGTCACAACAACCGTCACAGCAGTCGCAACCGCAGTCGCAACAACAGCAGCAGCAACAACAGCAACAGCAGCAGCAACAACAGCAACAGCAGCAGCCACAACAGCAGCCACAACAACAGCAGCAGCAACAGCAGCAACAACCCTGGACGGGTGGTAGCATGCAATCTGTTAGTGGTAATACGATTACAACAACTGCAACTTCCGCGCGAACTCCTCTCCAAAGCCAGTCGAGACAACTACCTCGTCAAACAACCAATACCTACCTCACTCATATGCTAAGTCAGGTGAATATTATTCTATTATAATGTAAAGTACTGTCATTCAGTTATCTGTTTATAGAACTGGGTAATGATTGATGGTATTATAATATCATGGAGAGGTGTATTTAACCGTTTTTGTTGTGCTTACAGCAACAAAGACCCCAGATGGGTCAGATGGATTCGGAATTTACGGGCAGCGGGGAGTATCGTCAAACAAGTACCGATCCAAGCAGTTGGGACAATCAGTCATCAGATCCTGATCTTTCCGACATTTTGGATCAGGTGATCGAGTTCGTACCAGACGAAGCTATCACAGGTATATCACCGATCAGTATTATCATTCTATCATCAAATTCTTACTATCCCTTAACTATACTATGGTCTGAGGATTCTTAAAGAAATTTTCAAAATATGTTGTAACTAGAAAAGCTACTGTGTAGGCAGAGTAGGTTGTAACTTCTGTTTCACTCCAAAGAACCTAACTTGACCTTCCCTTGCTTCACCTAAACTCATTACTGATCAAACTGAGAGTAGCTTTGGGTTAGGTTTGATTCCAGGATGCTCCGTTTTCCTCCACATACATTATTATAACTTGAAATAAAAAGACTTGATTGTCCTATTGTCAAAATACAAATTGAACTCACATAAAACTTAAATATGCGAATAATAGTCTACATGACCTAAAACTATATTTTATACGTTATATATATTACAGCTTTCGCTGTCACAGATTTATCGCATACTTTTTTATGACTTTTACTGTCTTTAACAAAGTTTCTGAAGCTAACAATGTTCTTGTACGATTTCGTGACAGCGAAAGTGGTACGATTATAGACAGCAATTTTTATTCAATAGATTCGTCTGCGATAGCAAATCTCCTAGATGTGATCGAAGCGCCGCAGAACAACGCGTTGAACGAGAAGATGGCGATTAACGCGATACAAAAGTCATTGATGTTATTCGAGACTGCCGTAAATCCAACGTCTTCCACCATAACAATCCCTGGCACGCCTCCAGCTTACTCCACCACGGTAAGTTAATATCGATATTTTCCATAACTGTAGTAATATATTCCTATCTTTAAACATCTCTATTTAAACAGTTTGAGAAATTCAAAAATTGTCAAGCGTATCCGAAGAAAGTCTTTTAATTACGAGTAATATTGTTTCAGTTGGTTACCACACCTGTAACAACGAGCCATAGTTACCAGCCACCACCGATGTATCAGCAACAACCAAGGATGAGGTTTAACACGCAGCCAGGTGTCAGGCAAACGGCCACTCAGTTCACGCAACAGCAACAGTTACAGCTGCAACAGCAACGGACAAAATTAATACAACAACAGCAACAACAACAGTTGAAACAGAGGTTGCTGCAACAGCAGCAACAACAACAATTACTCATTCCTTCCAATGCTACAGCTACGGACCAAATTACCACCGGCATTCACAATATTGATAATCTTCTCAACAATACTGTTGCACCGAATGTGTCGTTACAGGTAGTTATGAACTTTTAGATTAATTTTTAAACTCTCAACTATACAAGACCCCCAAGCATTTTTTGAAGAAACAGTTTCATGTACTTTTCTCTTGATTTTCAAAGTAGTATGTTTAAATACTAGAATTTCGTAGTATAGGTTTTTAGTGCATTGAAGAATTGAAGTTAAAAGATTCACAAAAAATGTTAAATAAATGCGAAATTGTGTACAAAATGTTGAAGTAAACGAAAACATTGTTTCCAGCGGTCGAGTGTCCCAGATTCGCAAGTGTCTCCAGGTTATGGGGGATCCGTCCAGATGCCTTCCAGTCACCGACTTGGCCACTCGTACTCACATCCTTCAACGTTACCACAACAGTAAGCACTTGTTGCACGCGATGCTGTTATAACTCGAACGTGCAATCGTTATCTAACGAGTGCTTTTATTTCCAGCCCCATTGTAAACAATAATTTTAACAGTGGTCAACAAGTGTCCGCCGCAGCTCGACTGTCGCCGCATTCTCCCGCTGGTATCTTGTCGTTCACTCATCCGCAGCCGTTGTCACCACGCGTGACGCAAGTACGTTTCACCAGTTGTTTAATTAGACGAGGTGTCCTAAATGCCTGTCGCGTAGTTTCATTTTTATTTTTAAGTTTTATTTCTGTTCCATCGGGGAAGGGTGCATCCACAACTTTCGATACTCTGCAATTGCTCGATTTAATCTCGCGCGTCTTAAGCCGCGTCTGAACTAGTAAAAATTTACCGTACGCGTTATATTCGATGCAAATTTTTATGAACGCATGCTAAGTTTGGTAAATATGTAAACATAAAAATGATAAACACAGTACTACTTATACATTGAAACCAATGTAAAGTGGTGATGAAGGATAAAGCTATTTTTGTCCAGACTTTGAGCGCTGTAATTAATAAAAGAATATCTGTTCACGTAATCTTTATATTAAAGAATAAAAAATAGTTTTAATTGCCTCTTAAAACTTTAATAACCGATAATATTTTAAAGTTTCAAGAGCTAAGTATTTGAAAGTTTTCTGAGTAATATATACTGCTATGTAATTTCAAGTATTAGAAGTTTAAAAGAGGTTAAAGGTTGAAGTTAACACAGTATAGGTTTAATTATAATTGCAATTTATACAGACAATAGTCCTGAAGCACAAAATGTACTTTATATAACTTGAGTTGTCTATATTAATAATTAGTTTATACCAAAACAACAAAAATTTTGCGTCGAATTCTAAATACGAGGCACGTAAATTTTTACTGATACAGGGTCCGGCCGAATTTTCCTCAAAAACTAAGCAGATCAACAAATTCTTACAATTTCACGAGAAATTACGTGATTTTACATGTTATTCGACAGGAGCCTGTATAGACCCGACCTTATATTGTACATTTCCGATACAATCACGAGAATTTTTAATTTCTTCTTCTTCTTTTTTTTTGCGTTTTATGATAAAGGGCAACTATGGTAATACCCCGAGATTATTCAACGTTAACCAGGTGAGATCGCAGCAACAGCCCACCGCGCAGCAGCAGTTGCAGCAACAACAGAGATCGATGCCGTCGCCGGGTACTCCAGCGTCTGCACGGCAATCTCCGTTTCCGGCGGAAACCTTTCCTCCACCCACCTCCCCCACAGCCAGTCAATTTCCACCCGGCCCTAATCCTGGAGCTCCAAATCCTTCTGCCCAATATCGGTTGCAACGGACCACGTCTACGCCTTCAGCCACGACTCAGTTGCCAGGTAGGTTCGCGTTGAAGTTGTAACAACTATCTTTCTTTGTCATTTACGGTTATTTTTACGTATGTACAGTCAAGAACATCCTAGACTTCTCATATGGAAGTGTAGAGTTTACAGTTGAGATTGTTCTAGACATCCCTCAGGAAAAATGGCGACGTAGGAGAAAAGGCAGCAGGTCACTGTAGTGCTCTTAAAACGAAATTGGTTACTCCCATATGACAATTAAAATTCTTATATCACCTTCCAAATTCCCATATGATCAAATATCTAAATTCTCAGATTTTCTAAGGTTTATATGTATTTCTAGATTTTTAGTTTTCAAATAGAAAAGAAAGGAATATGGTATGTTCTTGTTCCTACATTGCCATTTTCCCTAGTCATGTCTACCATGCTCTGCACTGTACAGAGTGAACCAAAGTCGAACTACTGAATTTCGTCAAAGAAGTTTGGTCGTTTAATTTTTCACGCTCTGTATACAGGGAACCATTTTCTCGATACTGCTGACGGTGTAATGGTGTTTATTGCGGGCGAACTATGTTATTTTCGATTATATACGTGTTACAATATTTTTTTTCTTTTTTTTAACGCGTGTGTGCATATTTGCGGATCGAGTACCTGTTTAGGGAGGTTCGGAGATGACCGTACGAGTACGTGTGTAACTAATTTGAGATTTATTTATTCCCGCGCAAAACAAACGGAAAGTCAAAAACTGTGATCGAGTAATTATTATAATATTGGTGCGGTTAATCTTAAGTAATTATCAAGTAAAAATATATGTATCTACATGGAACGTGTGATTTAAATAAATACTTTTTTCTAAGTAGGTAAGTATGGAATCGATTAAAGTATGTGTTTCGCTATCTCTCTTCAATATTCTCAGATGGAAAAAGTACGATTAGATTAGATAAATGTACATAGATATTATTTAGTCTAAATGTCTAAACTTTCTCTTATCATATTGGTGTTTCAAGTGCTACTCTTTGTGTTAGATGAAACGTGAATCAAGTCAGGATAATTTCACAAAATTTTATCTTCGAATTATGGATCTCCGATCTTTGGAAACAGCCACCGTACAAATCGTAACTTTATCACCTTGCAGACCTAACACATTGCAGATGAATGACGAATTGTTGACATAAATTGTTAACAAAAATATCATAGATTAAGTATGAATAGAAAATTCGTGCTGTTTTTTTCTGGAATGGAATATTTTTGTAAATACTCAATTCAAGTAAAAAAATATTCATTTGAATTTCACGCAAAATAAAGTTACCTTTTCTACGTTGTTTCTGAAACCAATTAACTGGTTGAATCAATTCATTACTTAAAATCTGGCACAGTACTGTGCAAATTAATGTGAACACAGTGATTATTGTTTTGTAGTCACTTTAGCAATGTTTATAATATAATTCGTGTTGAAGAGAAATATTGACATTCAGTATACTTATTGATGGTGTTTAATGTACTCATATTATTTTACTGTTTTCAGCTTGTTAATTTTAATCGTGAGATTGAGAAATTGCAAAAGTTGGTACATAGAGAAAACTATTATTTAAAGGAACTATTGTTCATAAAAAAAATTTGCTCAATATAGAATATATTTTTGAAACTGATTTTCTGAGTAATAAAATATTTTTACAACGTACTGTTCACGTTAATTCGCACAATGCTTTTATGTTTAAATCCAAGATGTACCCAAGAAGAAACTTTTTAGGGAAAAGGTGGAATAGTTGATGTGAAAGATACACATTATAAGAGTTATTATTAATATATTAATTATATTTGTTCATTGAATGATCTCGAAAAACATTTACAATATTACAAGCAATATTACTGTACTACTGGTGTACAGTAATGTCCAAAACGTACACATTACTTCTCAGATGTATTAGTGGAATTCAGTTAATGTTTGCAACTTGTGCATTTATTTGTATCAGAATGCTATTGGATATCCATACTGTTGCAAAGAGAAAATATTCAAATTCAGTAATTAAGAGGAAGTTTTTATTATAAAGTCTTACAAGTTATATCTTAAGAATCGATAGCTACTAAAAATGGGTATAATACACATTAATGAAAGGGCATAAAACCGCAATCAGTTATTCCATCTTCCCCTCACAATATCGCAAATGTACCTGGACGAAACTGTACCGCATAATCGATCAGAGAAAACCCCAAAAGCGTATTAGCTCGAATAAGGCCGCGAAAGCATGGAAGCGTAAAAGATAAAAAAGAAAATTGAAAACTAAAAAACGCAGAAAAGAAGCAAGGAACAAGGAGATAGACACGATTGATGTTGCAGGTGGGGTCGGTTCGCCCCGGCACTACGGCGGAGTGAGTAAGGAACAACCTCTTCTTTCACCTAGTCATCCACATTCGGGTTGCAACCCGGCAACACCGACTCACAATCAACACAACGTAACGAATACCCAACAACACTTCTCCAACCAACAACATTCTTCTATGATATACCACACGACCGCCAATACTATCAACACAGCTGACATGCAGAACAATCAGTTCTGTTACGATCGGACGTCTGTTCCACTCTATTCGTCAGGGCCTGGGGACGCGCAGGATGCCAGGCCTCTGCCTCCCGGTAATCCTGTCAATCACCAATTGGGTGGTAAGTCATGTGACCAGTTAATGTCATGTGACCATCACTTCGTCATCATTACACCCCCGTCCACCCTCGTACGACCCTGTTTTTGTATCTAAACAACCTCGTATCACGAGACCGACTGCGGCATGTGACATTGTTTGGTACATGGAAGCACATCATTCTATTCACCATCCACCACCCCCTCATCGTTGTGTACCGAATCATGTAAATACGATCGTCTTAGACCTCCCAACGTTCTCGTTCGATGTATTTTGCCCCCGTCATTTGGCCCTGCAAATATCCCTCTCGCGTTAAACATTGGGGAAATGGTGTTGTTCGGACCCTGACGGGACCTCGTCATTTCGGATCGTCACATCGATCATCCTGCTTGGATATTCCTTGACGTCATGCTTCGATGGTTCAACTGCTCGTTTCATACTTTGCTCGCATCGGAGCAAATATTATCTTGTGGATCATTTGTAATTAATCGGTATCATTATCATCGTCATCATCATTGTTACATCTCTTTCCTTTGGTTGGCATTCTATCGTGCACCTAGGACGCAGTAGCGTATCCTGTCGACATAGCGCTAAATGTTGCATGGTGCTTTTGTTTATAGTTTGACATTTGCATATCATCGTGATCATTTCCGTGGAATGTACTCTTCGCTCATTGTGTTTTATGGAAACGCGAATCCATTTTGTTTAACTGATTCAAACGTGATTTTCTGTAACTGCTGGGTGGAAGAATTTTAGTTGATATTCGTACAAGTAAATTCTATAAATTCTGTAGTTTATATTTGTTTATTGTAAGAATTTGCATTAACGCAACCTCATTTCTGCAAGTTCGATATACAAACCGAATATGTAGTTATTGTTATCAAACATGTTATAATAATCTGATAATATTTAATAACGTTTAATCATATTAATTTCTATTAAATTAATGTCTCCAATGTTTGAGAATTATTTTTATAATTATTTATACTATCAGTACTGTGACATTATTTCCTTCATTAGCCTTATCTAAAAATGCAAAATAAATTCAGTTCACACTTCCAAAGCCCCAGTTAAAAAGAGTACCAGAGTGTTTAAAAAATCTGAAATTTTACTGTACGCAATATCACTAAAAAATTCAATGTAGTACGCCAGTATTCACCAAAGTGACGCGTTTGAATCTTTTAAACGCAATCAAAGAAAAGAAGCACATCTCATTAATTTGTCAACTAACTTCAACTTCATCAGAATCTCTCTCATCGAATCTCCCTTCTGTAAATAACAATTGTTTCTAACCGCCACATGATTCTTTTTTACGCAAAATATTTGATTCAACATCATGCTTGTCACGAGTCCACGTTCATTGTACACACGTAAGAAAAAGTGCCTCGTGTTTCCGGAAGAAATTGATTCACACCTGTGTTTTCCCAAGTACCGTCATACGTACTACTTCATTCCCATATGTAAGACACACACTTTCTTTCACACTAATTTCAGCGATACGACGTTCGATTCTGCACTCTCTATTTCTTCCTAGCGATAGAGAGACTACACCTGTTCTTTTTTTTTCTTCTTATGGTGATTGTAGACATCGAAGTAATTATGTAATGATATTAGTAGATAAGTCACGTAGGAAAGACTGTCCTTTGTACCATATCTTTCTTTAGGTATCTTTCTTATGATTCGTATGCGTTAAGATCACTGTATTGTTTAAGGTGGACTGGAAACGGAAGCGGGCAAACTTTCTTATTCTTTTATCATTAAAATGTTATTATTAAAATTGCGCGAAAAAATGGCGCAAGTATTTTCTATGCAACATTGTATTGGTTTTAGAAAACTATACAGTTACATTTATAATTATATGTATTTACACGCAATCGTATATAGTTATATTTACGTACAATTGTATACAATTATTTTACAATTTCATAATGTTATGAAGAACATGTAAAATTTAATTTTCAACGTACATCGGAGAGAATTGCTGCCGTGGGAAAAATGGCGACGTCGGCAGCCATTTTGTATTAAGAACGTCAGTGAAGAGTTTGATGAAAGTCAGCGAAGAGTTTGATCAATGATTTAATGCGTAACAAAAATAATTGATATTTTTTGTCGAAGAGAAATATTGAACCCTTTTAAATTTTTAATATAACACGATACATATTGCTGTTTTAAAATTTACAATTTTAGAAACACCGAATGTCACGTTATTACATAATTTATTAAAAATAGAACTTAGCGAAATTTGTTGCTATCGAGCGTTGTTAATAAAGGTAAAATCGAAGAGGTAATAAATTGTAAATTCCAATAACGAATTGCCCATTTCCGTTTCCGAATATGTTCGCACTGTTTAGTGATTACCCTCCGGCACTTCCGGAACACGTAAATTAGCATCACTATCACTTGCACCACATATATAAAATTTGTGTTATAATAACTAATACATACGTACTGCTGTTTCCATGTAAGACTGAATTTCCTGTACAACCGTGATTTAACAACGATAAGGACAAGTATTGCTAAACGATTAGAATAGAATCCCTCGTTGTATCTTAATGTTTTAAGCAATTAATATATTTTTCCAGTTATTTTTAGGATTTAAACACTATTTGATATGTATGTGAAAATGTTCGATTTGTGAGTCCAAGTTTAAAAATATTTCATAACGATACGAAAATATTTTTAAGCGCAACTTGCATCCGTTTCGAGAGAGATAATTGTAAAAGATGACGTTCACAAGATTCAGGAATTCAGTTATCGCACGAAAAGCGTTTAATATCCTATTCATATTTCTCTTATAATTTGTTGTTACTCACTTTGTGTTTTTCATTTTTATACGCTTGTTGTATCACGCAATCTCATTACGTTTTCTTTCCCTTTGTATTCTCCTGTTATTAATCTCCGATCAACTGGCAATTTTTGTACTAATTATTTTATATTTGCGAACCACTCGATCGGTATTTAATTATAATTGGAGCATGATCAACGCAGACGATTCTTTTCTTATTTTTTTTTTGCTGCAATAGAGTTCTACGATTTATTTTATCATTTACATATTTCAGTATGCACATTTTAAGAACGTAGATGCATCCTTTAGTTTCTATATTTATAAAATGATATACGATCGAAGAATCTTTGAGTAAGAAGCACGATGGTTTAAGAAAGATAAGAATTTTTTTTTTAAACGAGACTCGAGACTCGTAACGATCACAAATACTATAGATAGTATCTAGTTTTACCAGTTCTACATATAATATATAGTTACGTTAAGCTAAGTACAGAATGTAAAAAAGAGTAATTAGTCCACTTTAATCATTCTCCAATCTAAATGTTGATCCGCATAATATATATATAATAAACCAGGTTCACCGTTTGAATCCACAATTTTCAAGTAACGATACAGCAAAGAAGGTATTAACAACGACGCATTTTTTCATGTACCAACTGCATCGAGCTTTTGTGATTAATCATCGTCACTAAATGCAATGTTAAGCATCGTTGAGCACAGTGTACTGTGTCGAGTGCATTAGCATTTTCTAGGGAAAAAGGCTATGTAGGGAAAGGAAGGTCTCCTGTCGTTCGATTAAACAAATTGAAGGACAGAAGCATCTGTCATTAATTTTGGTTACATTTTCAAAGTTGCAAATTCGAAAATTTTTTCGTTCTAAATTTCTGCATTTTTAATTTTCAGATTGTACAATTTTTAGAATCTTAAATTTCTATATTTACGAATTTAGAAATTTTAATATTGCTAGTTTAATAAATTTTTTCCGGTCTTCCAAATTCGCAAATTGTCAAATTTCTAATTTTGACAAATTTCTGATTTTCGAATTTTCTGATTTTTCAAATTCCTAACTTTCCAATTTTCTAATTTTTCAGTTTCCTGATTTTTCAATTTTCCCACTTCCCAATGTTCTATTTTTCCATTTTTTCCAATTTTCCCATTTTCCAAATTTCCAATTTGCCAACTTTCCCATTTTCCAAATTTCCAATTTGCCAACTTTCCCATTTTCCAAATTTCCAAATTTCCAATTTTCCAAGTTCCCAAACCCCCAAATTTCTAAATTATAAACCTATTTAATTTCCAGAATATAAAATTTCCAAGTCTCCAAATTTCAAGATTTACCAATTTTTAAATTCCAAAATGTCCAAATTGCTTAATTTACCAAACATCTAAATTCACAAACCCCAAAGTATTCAAATAGGGATCGACAATAAAATGTTGCTAAGTAACATATCGCCTTTCGCTATATGGCCTTTTTCCCCAGGGAAGGTTAGTATTCTCGACATTGTAGATCAATGTCTAATAATCGACGGCCCGAAGCTTCGTCTCACAAAAATATTTGGTAATTATACAGAATAGGGTAAACTTGGACGATTTCAGTGGATCTTGATATATGTCATGAATGTCAATTATCTGAATAAACTATCCATCAAATTTCAAGTTCAAAAATTTATTAGCTTTCAATGATTTAAATCTCTCAATTTTTTAAGGTTTTCAATTTATTAGTTTTCAAGGTTTTTAATCCTTTAATTTTCAAGCTTCTAAAGTTCCATAATATCAGATTCCGAAATGTGCAAATTTCAGATACCTAAATTTAAATTGTATATCAAAATGTCGAGATCTGTACGTATCGGTAAAATTATTCAGATCATTGACACGTGTTCGGCTACTGATGGGTATAATTTCAGAGGATGGTAGCTGGGGTGTTACTGAACAACTCTTTCCTATACCAAAATGATGACTGAAGCTTAGTTTTTGACGGCTGAACGTGATCAAGACCGGTCACGGTGGAAACTTACTTGTTCACGATCACGCTCAGTCGTCAGGCTCGAAGCCATCACTCCCTCAGTGTTTTTCTTTAATAATTCGAAAACTAAGCTTCAGTCAACATTTTGGTAAAGGAAAAAGTTGTTCAGTATCACCCCAGCTACTAACCCCTGAAATTATCTTTACCAGTAGCCGAACACCCTGTATCATAATTACTGAAATCAGTGATATTCACCCTATTCTCTAACAATTGTTTATTTTTCGTTTCTTCTTCTCTATCTGTCTCTCCGCCTAAGGACTTCATCGTGCTTAAATATCACGGTAAATCCGTGCGAACGGATGTGCCGAATCAGTCGAACGCGTTTGTTACGAGATAAGTTGCAATCTATCCGATGTTACTGCAATATTATTGTAAATACCGCATTTTGTAATAAAGCATTCATCCTGTACCTTTGACTAACTTGTACGTAAACGGCTTGCACAAATATGAGACGAACAACGAGTGAACGCACTCGAGGTATCGTTGTTGTATCCGTTCGAAGCAAAGAGAACGAGGATCGTTGTCTTTTGCTTTGGTTATATGAACGCGAGAAATGACAGGATATCGTTTCGTTTTGTCACAGGAAACGCGAGCAGCACGTCCGAGTTCGTGAGACAAGAATTGAGAGCGATCGTTGGTGCGCGAACGCAACAGCAACAACAAAGGGTACCAAACAACATTCAGAACAATCTCACCGGTCAAGTATCTCAAGACGATCTTGAAGCGCTTGGTCTGACGTTCGAGATGTCCCCTGCAGGTACGTGACTAGAAAAAATAACTAGAAATGAACCTTCACCGTTTTAGTTCCACCCCCTTTTTTTAATGCGCGTTTACGGAAAGGGTACTCGTGGCGGCTCGTTACTGAAATTAGGGGTGATCCAAAAAATTGTTAGAATTGTGCAAAAGGAAATATGAAAAGAAACTTGATAAAACCCTAAATGAATCAGATATTTTTTATTTGCTAAATTAATATCGAGAGGAGGGTGCATCTACAAGCGAGCCGCCATTGGTACTCAAAATGAAGTCACTTTGTACATAACCTTTTTTTTCCGTTCGATTAGCATTTTTCGAAATTGTCAGGCGTCGATTGGGTTCACACAGATATACGGTCGTTCATTTTGGATTAATCGAAACTAAAGGGGGGATTATTGGTCTCTCGATACTAACTCACGTTCTCTTCTTGTATAGCATTGCGAACCTCGGTTTGTTCTCCTCGTTTCGGCTTGTAAATAAAGTATCTGCGAAAATTCTGACAACTGTGAAAAAGTATTACAGGAGTTCTAACATTCGTATTCATTTTTCTGTGAAATTGTTTCGGCTACGCTGTAACAAATTTCAACGACCATTTCGTGTATTTGTAATGGAATTCTAACGATCTCGAAGAACAGTGAAAGTATTGAAATTTGTTACTGAATTACTGGAAAAATATTATGAAATTATGCAATTGCGAAAGCGATAAATGGTTCGTCTAGATGAAGCAGTAAATGAAATTATAGAACTGCTTTCTAAGGTTTATTTGTACTTCGTCTTTTTTCGCCGTGTATCGATTAGTATTCCGATGGACATTTTTTGGAGACGGTTTTCGATTCGAATGGAAATTTTATACACTGCCGTTCATAAATCTGCGCTTTCACTTTTACGGATCAATTTTTACCTGCAAATTTTCAAATTTTATCAGTAATTGTATATAATTTCTGTTTTTTCTTTTAATGAATTTTTAAGTAAATTCTTTTTATATAAAACGTTTAGAATTATTGAGTTAAATACTTTAGAAATTCCGGTACTGATTTCTTTGTAATCGTTCAGCTTAGATTTGCAATTTTATTAAAAATATCAAATATAAACTAACAGAAGCACCTCTGACAACTTGTACAAATTATTATAAATATTGTGAATTAACACTGAACGTATCAAAACGGTGAAAATAATCATTTAACAAGTTTCTTATTTTAACCCTTCACACTCGGAGATTTCATTAACCCTTTCAGTGTTGAATAAATTAGCAACGCGAACATAAGAACAAATCGATTTGATGTAATTCAGTCTGAGAAAAAATGACAGAAAAGATAGTAAGAATATTTACAATAATTTTAAAGAGAACAAAATAACAAATTGCAAGTGTTAACAACGAAATATGTTCAACACTGAGAGGGTTAAGTTCCCTCATAATACAACCCAGTGACTTGAATTAAAATTTTCAGAGATAAAAAATTAATTTGTACATTCATCTATGTTCCACCGTTTATTTTTCATGTCTCATTCATTTTTCACTTCGCACCACTCACAAGTGTCTAATACTTATGAACGGCAGTATACGTGAAAGATACATAATCAATTAAATTAAATTTCGTCGTCAAAACGTATTGTCAGCTTAAAAATCGTTCTACTTGAAATTCCCGTAGAGATCGCGAAAACGAACGATAGTTCGGAAAATAATCGAAGATCCGAACACCTGATTCGGTTTTAATAGTTTCGGAGAGGTGTGCTCGACACACTAGTCTGGTTCTTGTAAGAAAACGCATAATTTGTAATAAAAGACTGGTGGTAACGCCTACTGTTACAATGTCCTAACTAGGTGAGGCTGTGGTTAGCGATGGCCCTGCAAAGAGCTGGGCCATTGGGAGTGCCGGAGGTGCCCCCTCGTCCTCCAGGGTAAGACCCTTCCGACAATTACTTTTACGTATATATTATATATATTTACTTATTTACTTTATCTACCTTTTTTTTAATCATTATTTATTTTATTTATTTTCACTTGATTTTGTATGCGATGTCTTCCCTTCTTCGCTTGGCTTCAGAACTTATTGTGCACGAAATGTTTAATGATTATATGATTATACATTTGCATATGTATTTATGTATGTGTACATATGTATACGCGTAAATTTATACGTATGTACAATATATACTTATGTGTACGAATGTATACATTTATATTTATGCGTACATATGTATACGTATATATTTACGTATGTGCACGTGTGTATACGTTAACACATGCGTACGTATATATTTATATATGCATATGTGTACGTGTATATTTATGTATGTATACAAGTACAGTATATTTATGTATGTATACAAGTACAGTATATATTTATGTATGCATACATATGTATACGTGTATATTTATATATGTATACAAGTACAGTATACAATGCATACAAACGTATACATGTATACATATGTATATTTGTATAATATACATATTTTTTTCTCTCTACGCACTGAGCGTAAAACTTGTAGGGGATATTTTAGCGCTCTCTTTGCATGTGTCATTTTTTGACGTTTACTATGTAATATCGTTCATTTATGATCTTATTTAGACGTAGCTGCGTTCGATACACGCGTGTATTATGTATATCTGGACCGTGATATTTCGCGGACAACTTCTGTTATTGTTTCTTCCCTTTTTCGTTTCTTTACTTTTCGATCAGCTTGTCTCGATCGAGAACTGCGTGGACGTTGAAAGGATACACCAAGTCAGCTTGTTTCGTGACTATTCTTCGACCTTTTTTTCTCAAGTTTCTCGCTGCGTTTGGAAACAAAGAAGACGAGACATTTTTAAATGACTGCCAATTTTCAATTCTACTGGTACGGTTTCATCAGTGAATGTTTAACAGAATTTTTAATATGGCAGATGGGGCCTGGTATATCGTTAATTTGTCCACACCGAAAAGAAGAAACATGGATCATTCGTTCCAAATTAATTTAACGGTGTTCGGTGAAAATTTGGAAGTTTTACACTCAGTGGCAAGAATCATATTTTTACCTTTTTGTTTGCAATTGTATCATATCGACTAATACAATTATCACGTGACGGAATTCTTGGATCAAATTCGTTAGGAGTATATCTCATCGATTATCATCTGTACACAGAAGACTAATTTTTTTGTTCAAACTGTATTAACTGCAAGTAACCACGCAAATATTTCTCTTGTTCATGTAAGACTAATGCAAGGAACTAAATTCATCTTCGAAACAGAGAGCATTGATACAATTTTCGAAACAGAAAGGATAACCAAGTATTTTAAAATTATTGTCCTACAATATAATTTTAACAACTAGAAGACTTGTGATAAAGAAAAATTTTTTTATAGACAAAGTTTTAAAAAACATCTTCCATAAAAATAAAATAAATGAGCAACTTAATTGAATTTGAACTTCAAAAAAAAAAATCGTATATTCAAGATTTTTGTCATAAAGGCAATGTTCGTTAAAATTATTGAATTAATTCGATAGAAATTAGGCCACTTTTTACCATCGTTTGTAAACCCCTGTAAGAAGGAATTTTATCTTGTATCGAGCGTAAAGAGTGTATCCTCTTTATTCTACAGGGTGATGGTGCCGTTAAGCTTCAGCTCATTTCGAAGTAATCAGTATTAATCACACTGGCATTGTTGTATCGTGTAACGTATATTTTAGTATGGTAATGCTTTTTCACAGTGAGCCAAATAGACATCTAAGCGGATAGAGCTCTTTTTTTTACTATCTCGTTGCATGAGGCAGAACTGTGACAGTTCGCCGATAAACCGGAAATGCGTCGAAGATGCAACATTCGAATGTATCAATCATTTTATCGCATTAACTGCCACAGTAAAAACTTACAAAACGCATTGCAATTTTTAATTATTAATATTTCGTTCAGAATTCAAGTTTTGTATTTTCCCAATTATTTTCTTTCATTTTTAAAATTCGCGCGCTTATTTCAGTCGAGACAGTTCAGTTTTATATGCGTTTGAATATTCTGTTTCTTGAGGAGTCGAACAGGTAGTTTGAAATTTTTATTTTCTTCTTTTAATGTTCTATGTTATTATAATGATATTAAAAATTGTGTTTCACATAAAACATTTGTGGCATCGAATGTCTGCGGCAGTCAGTGTGTTAAAAATTTAACATTTTATCGAAGCTGTCAATATTTTCGTCCGATTAGTCGGTAAATCGACTGTCAAATTATCTGTTAATTCGAGTGTCGACAAGCGGTGATTAATGTAGCGCGGAGTATTTAAAATTATAATTTTCGATCGATAATGAATGACTGGCGCGAATTAACTCGTTCAACTCGACAGTGATTTTAATGCAAATTTTCGTGCTGCTGAAACTTGATTCCTTGAATTCGAACACCTAATAGTTGTCTTGTTTTAAATTGGAAATGCAGCGAGTATATTGTTTTTGCTTGGATTTTGGGAATTTGGGATTCGAGAAATATGGAATTTGGGAAATTTTAGATTTGGGAAATTTGGGATTTGGGGAATTTGAGATTTGGAGAATTTTGGATTTGGGGAATTTTAGATTTGGGAAATTTTGGATTTGGGGAATTTGAGATTTAGGGAATTTTGGATTTGGGGAATTTTGGATTTGGGAAATTTTGGATGTGGGGAATTTTGGATTTGGGGAATTTTGGATTTGGGAAATTTGGGAATTGGGGAATTTGGGAATTGGGAAATTTGGGAATTGGGAAATTTTTAAATTTGGGAAGTTTTGGATTTGGGAAATTTGAACTTTAGGTAATTTTTAAATTTGGGAAATTTGGGATTTGGGAAATTTGGGATTTGGGAAATTTGGGAATTGGGAAATTTTTAAATTTGGGAAGTTTTGGATTTGGGAAATCTGAGCTTTAGGGAATTTTGGATTTGGGGAATATTTAAATTTGGGAAATTTGGGATTTGGGAGATTTGGGAAATTTGGGATTTGGGAAATTTGGGATTTGGGAAATTTGGGATTTGGGAAATTTGGGATTTGGGAAATTTGGGATTTGGGAAATTTGGGATTTGGGAAATTTGGGATTTGGGAAATTTGGGATTTGGGAAATTTGGGATTTGGGAAATTTGGGATTTGGGAAATTTGGGATTTGGGAAATTTGGGATTTGGGAAATTTGGGATTTGGGAAATTTAGGATTTGGGAAATTTGAACTTTAGGGAATTTTGGATTTGGGGAATTTTAAAATTGGGAAATTTGGAATTTGAGAAGTTTTGGATTTGTGGAATTTGAGATTTTTGGATTTGGGGAATTTTGGATCTAGAGAATTTTGAATTTTGGGAATCTGAGATTTAGAGAATTTTGGATTTGGAAAATTTTGAATCTGGGGAATTTTGGATCTGGAGAATTTGATTTTAGGGAATTTGAAATTAAGAAATTTAGGATTTGGAGAATTTCGAATTTAAGAAATTTTGCATTTATAAAATTTGAGATTTAGGGAATTTTGAATTTTAGAAATTTGGTTCTTTGTCATTTTTGGAACCAGGAAATTTCATTTTTCGCCCAATTTCAAATTCTTAACTTGTACAAATACACATTTATTAATCTTCCCACTATAAAATATACAAGCGTTGAACCTAAAAATACATCTAAAAGAATCCGTAAAAAACGCCGCAAAAAGTCTCGAAAGATGGAATAAAAAACGCGAACCAGTTTGTAATCGCTGCGAGTTGAACGCGCTAATAGCATTCAGCGATCGACGATTAATTAGTACAATCTACATAAACGCATTCGCGATCGACTGCAATTATTACTTGTAAATTCTTCTATGTTTTTCTCTCCCGCTCTCTTTCTCTCTCTTTCTCTCTCTCTCTATCTTACATGCATTCCAGTTGAAAGATTGTGCCTGCGTAAGCTAAAGGAAGCAAGCAAACCTGATACTCTTTCAACACTACGAGATGTTCGTAATGTAGTAGCTTTTTAACGTTCTGCAAAATAACTGCTTTGTTTTTTAAACAGGAAGAAAGAAAAGATAGATGCGTAAACAAGTGCTCCATTTCTTTCTTTATTCGTTAAGGTCGTCGGTTAAATCGCGACGTCGGTGTGATTCTCTATTTTCTCTTCTTATTTTTTTTTAACGTCATTAGATTAGCGGCCTTTGGTGTGCATTGGAACATTGGATGTGTAGCGAACATATGTGGCTTCAGTATAGTCTCTCTTTTTGAGTTTTGACTTTGCGTTTGCCTCCGCTGGAGCAATTTTTTTCCTTTTTATTTTTTATCAGGTTTCGCGATCGACTCGAGAACTTGTCGAGATTTTCTTTCTATTTTTCCTTATATTTTTTTTAGTTACGATACCGTGAATATTCAGAATTTCAAATGGTTCTTCAATCGGTTTTTTTTAATAGAAACGTAGATTCTCGTTTGCAAGATTTTAAATTATAAGCTTCGAAACTTATAAATTTTTTCAAATTTCCCAGTTTATCTCGTGTCATTTTTCGTGCTTTCTGCTCAGGAATAAATTCAGGTTGAACAAACTATTCGATACTTATGTTACTTATTTAGAATAGTAGAAATTATTTAATATTCACGGTGTCTGAATAAGAGTGTTGGCAATGTTGGTCAGATGCTAGAAATGCAAGATTTTGGAAAAAATAACAGAAATATTTTATAATGCATAGATTTTTTAGATTCATTTAATTCGGTTAAATACTTCCGCAACTGCACTGTCGTTAACTGTGAAATCACGCGATATTGCGTGCTGAATTGTCGATTTTTCAGTCATAAAAATGTAGCTTCATTTGAATAGATATCTTATACTGAAATTAAGTTCATAAGAATAATAATGTTACTCGTTACCAAACTAAATAATTATTAAGAACAAAAAAAAAAATGACATGTCAAATTTTTGTAAAAACCTAACATTCTCCTGTCTTATAATACAGTTATGAAATTTTTATGCAAATAAAGTAGAATAAAAATGTCTGCATCGTTACACATAGCCTAGCAGCAAAAGAAACAAACAGATTTTCTCAAGTAACGCGTTGCATAATAACGACAGAGTATACGTTACACCATATAATTTAATACTTTTCCAAGACTTGCAATACACGTTGCACAGTGTTCCAACGTTCCCTACATTCTGAATCGATGAAACAGTTATAAAAAGAAAATGGATTACGGTGTCCTTAACCCTTTGCCTTACGAGCTCACTGGTCGAATGCCATCTATTTGGCCGTCAAACGATAACTTGTCACGAAAATTCTGTAAATTACTGTTGAAAATCAAAATTTTGTTAACGTTACGAATCAAAATTATCTCATTTGTCGAATCTAGTGAGGCTCTTAACCCCTGGAGTGGTTGCGCGAATGGCATCGAAAAAAATATTTATTTTTTGTTTAATAAATTGTTAGTATTCTTTCGATCAGAGATGAGCAAATAGTAAGCCTAAAGAAAATATTTATAATTGTTATGCATTATTTTCTGTAATTGAGAATTAGACCTTTCGTAAGTGGAATATTAGGTCCATCGACCTTCGATTCTTTTTATTTTTATTATAGTGTTCGATAAATTAAATAACCCATTTACCGGTATATGATTTACAGAAGTGAAACATAACCTCAAAGATTTAATAACAGAAAGTAATTGGTATTTGCTACAGATATTATAGAATCATCATACTAAGTTAACTAACGATACTTGTTACAATACATTTCACGACCAAAGAGTCTGTAATTAAAATGGCTGTTATTACAATGTAAATCTGTTTTACGCTGTTGATTAATAAATGTAATCCCTTGAAATAGGGTTAAGTTGCCAGTCAACAATTAAATCGAAGCTTTGCTTCCTAAGGATAATAGCTGGCAATAGTGATGCTATTCGAAGTACATTTTTATTTTCGTTATCGGTACATTCATCGTGTTATAACGAATAACGCTTGTCATTCACGCGACCTTTCACGCTACATTTATAAGCGCAATTGCAGGGTTAACAGGCAAAGGGTTAAATTCACAAATCCTAGAAAACGATTGTACGCTAATAGAAGGGAATTCATTTTGCAGACTTCTATGGAGGAAGTGGCTCGAGGTGATCCAAAGGTGAACCAGTCGTCGTTGTTACAGAAACTGTTGTCCGAGTGACTGCAGGCCAACGGTTTGAAGACTAAAGGGATCTATGTAATATACGTTTGAAGCTAGAGACGTGAAAAAAAAATGGATGCAAGACCGGGTCACATACGGCACGAAGGAAAACCGCCAAGTGCAAAATCGATCCGCGTGTGTACGACGCAAAATATACACCCTATTATACGTAATGGATACTAATTGTATTATATGTAAAACGCCGCAACAAACAAATACACACACATACATACACGGGACACACACGTATACACACGAAGTCAGTATTCAGACACGTATCACCAAATACAAAATTGCGAGAAAATTTAGGCCGCTGCGCCGTGCTCTCCGTGGCCTTAACGCGCTGGAATTTGATGTCAAAAAAGAAATAAACAACAACGGGAAGTCATTTTAAGAGACAACAATCAAAATGGAGCTTCGCGACGTGAACGAGTCCAGCGCGTCTTTATATCTTGCTCCGAAACTCGAAGGACCAAAAGTTTCCGTTTCCCGTTTGCATCGAACGGTCTCGACGATTCGTGTCTCCGATTTCGGAAGGATCTTGTCCCGAGGGATAATAGAGCGTCACGGGATCGAACGATCTCTGTAGATCGATCATTCGGTCGCGAGAAACGACGGAGAAACATTTAATTTGAAAAGAAATCGAAGTAGAGCGCGGGGAGCACATGGCGTGACATCGCGACGACCATTATTTTATATATATATACATATATATATACATACATATATATAAATATATAAATATAAAAAGAATGAAAGAAAGAAAGAAAGAAAGAAATGCCTTTCTCGGGGCATCCCAGCTTCGGACGATATTCGAGTATAAATATATATAAATATAAATATAAATATATAAATATATTATATATGAAAATATAAATATAAATATAATACCGACACGATTAGACTGACGGCCGCTTGTAATCCGATTGAAAGGGTTGCCACGCGAACCGTCAGTATTGTATTTGGTATCACTGAAAGAAACTACGTAGGTACCTCAAAGGTATACTTTACTATACCACTGGCTGTTGAACATAGAACTATTTATAGGTTTAATTATTGTACACAAGAGGATGATGAGAAGATGACGAAGATAAGAAAGAAGCAAATAGAGCACTATTTCACGTATTCTCTTAATTTAATGATCCTTTTTGACTATTACATTTATGAATAATATATTTGTGATTGTAAGAATCTGCAACCAAAATGTGACAAAGAATACTTGTTGTTGTTAATATGATTATAACTATTATTATTATTATTATTATTAATATTATTATTATTTTATTATTATTATTATTATTATTGACATCATCATTATCACTATTACCAATATTCTTGTTGCAATTACTATATTATTATAATATTAAGGATTATTATTATTATTAATATTATTATTATTTTATTAATATTATTGTATAATAATTATTATTATATCGATATTGATATTATTGAACACTTGGAATATGCATATTTCTATTCAATAGTAAGAGTACCTTTATATACATATACATGTATACAGGCGCGTTGTATAAATGTATATGTGTGTACATGTGTATAGGGATTTATATAGCGTGTTATATATAACTAATTCTGCCCGATTATTTATATATAATCGGTATATAAATTTACGGTATATTTATATATGTATACGTGTGAAGATGAAAAGGAAAAAAAAATATGGAGATCAATCCTTCTATTTTGCATAGCTCGATAATTCTCCTTTGAGTCTTTAGAAGTGCACACTAAAAATTACTTCTCGAACATCTGTTGTTGCATTGATCGAATCGTGTGGGAAGGAAGAACAAAAAAAAACGATATAAAGAAATGGAACGAATCGAGAGAGCGAACGAGAGAGAGAGAAAGTGAGAGAGAAAGAGAGAGAGAGAGAGAGGGAAAGATAGTCGAAAAGAAAAAATAAAGATGGAAGAAATACGTCTTTTCACGTTTATTCGTATATGTATATACACACGCCGCGCGACAACAAATTAATCGGCGTGTATATATGTATATTATTTACATGCATATGAAAGAAATCTCACGCAAGTGTCTTATTTTTCCAGGATGTTCACCGACGATTATTAAAATGAAAGAGTAACTAAAAAAGTGAGTAAAAATGAGTAAAAAAAAAAGAGAATAATAAAAGAGATCGAGGTAAAACGATGAAACAATGAATGAAAAAGTTGGAAGAAATTGCCACGAGGTAGACACAAGCGAGAACTCGTCGTTTCCGTCTTCGTGATCGACGAGTTCCGATCGGAACCGTGTCGACGACGGAAGTACACGTTGGTCACTTCCGTCGCGACACACGTCCCGCGCCAGGAACGCGTTAAATCTTTGTTTTTCTCCTTTTACGCGACCGTGTCCCTTAGAACGTAAGTTATTCTTTTTAAAACGCGTTTTGTTTTTATACCCAAATTGCACGTCGTTGCGTGCTGATTGACGATGAATTTTTACCATTCTCCCCGGTGTTTCATTTTATCGTATCTCTCCGCGTGTACGTACTTTCGTTAATCTTTTTTTTTATCGCACATGGTACGTTCACGTCCTTTTGTTTTTTTTTTTTTTTTTTTAATGCGGGGACGTTCACGTCCTTTTGTTTTTTTTTTTTTTTTATTAATGCGGGGAGTTGATCGTCGATCGAGTTTAACGCGATCGAGCGTTTCGAACGGGCGAATAATTCGTTTCCTCTTTCGCTTATTATTATTATTACGATTATTTCTTCTTTTCTGTTTTTATTAGTTGCAATTTTACGAGCGTTTTAGCGATTAATGGATTTTAATGAGAAACGTTAACGTTCTTAAGGATACATTTGTTTAGATCGTAAGAATTCGGGGGTTGATAAGATTACAAAAATCGGGGGCAAAGTATACCCCAGTGGGAGATGTACACGTATATACTAGATGAGCGAAAGCGAAAGAATGAAGTAGAAGTATATATATAAATATATGTAAATGTATATGAATAAAAGAAAAAAAGATGAGTTTGTGACACGAAGATACTTTTCCGCGGTGGTACACGATACGGCATTACTGTGATGACACTGGCCTGCTCATCTCTGTTGCACTTTCTTCCAATTATTCGAGCAGTTACAAAGTTTTGCGTAATGTAAAAAAAAGAAAAAATGATTAAAATCCCTGTAAAACACATTCGTGAGGTACTCTGAATATGTACACGTGCATACATAGACATGTATACTCGTTTCGTTAGTCGTGCGTCGCCGTTCACACAGTGACGTAATGTGTATGTGTGTGTGGCGGGCACGCGCGCCC